GGGGTTTTGTTTGTTTGCTTTGCTTTTTTTTTCTTTTGTTTTCTTTTAGAGGCTTTTGCCTTAGGGTGCATGTGCTCGCTGGAGAGAGACGGTGAGAAGAAAAGTGAGAAATCACCCCCCAAGGATGGTCACCCTGCAATCCATTCCTCTCCATTCTCCTCCTGAGATCTTGGGCACACACACATATGCACCAGGCATGAGTTGTTGTTGTTGTTGTTCTTAGAGATTTTTGCTATGGGGTGTGTGTACTGGCTAGAGAGATAGAAAGCAAGAAATCACCCACTAGGAGGGATGGCCACACTACAATTCCTTCTCCTTCATTCTCCTCTTGGGATTTTAGGCACACACATACACACACCTGGCCTGAGTTTTAAGTCACCAGGTCCAGGACTTGAACTGTGGTCTACTATGTGGGAGTTTAGAGATGCAACCACTACGCCATCTGCTGGCCCCAACGATTGTGTGTGTGTGTGTGTTTAGAGAGAGAGGGCACGTGCATTTGCCAAAGAGACAGAGACAGAAAGAAAATGAGAAATCATTTTCATCCTGGGGGGAGGGTCATAGCCCAATCCCTTCTCTTCCAGTCTCCTCTTGAAAATTTGGGAATGTACGCACACACATCCAGCATGAGTTTCTAAGCTGCCAGGTCTAGGACTCAAACTCTGGTCGACTATGTGGGAGTCCAGCAATGTAACCATTATGCCATCTGCTGGTCCCAAACAATTATGTGTTTTAACTTACTTTAACCATTGGTATCTTTGTTAGCTTTTTGCTTTTCCTCATGAATACAGTTTTACTAAGTCTCCAACAGTTTCTGTATCCCTTCTTGCCTGAGCAGATTGAAAAATGCATTGAAAAGCATTTATACTTTCCTGTGTGCAGAGGGATCTGTGTCACAAAACCCATCAATAGAGGGAGTGTGTGGGGGATAAACCACTGCAGCTCATCCCAATGGAGCCAGACAGCATGAAGTCGGGCTCTGCGCTGACATGGAACAAACAGCTGGGACAGGTTTTCAAGTGAAAATAAGCAAAGTACATAATTAAGAAGTATGCCACTTCTTGTGAAAGAAAAATGAGTTTTTTGGTTTTTATTTTTTAAGAAACATTTTTGCTATAGTGCATGTGTGCTTGCTGGAGAGACAGAGAGAGATGAAGAGACAGAGAGACAGAAAGCTAGAACCCACCCCTCAAAAGGAATAGTCACACTGCAGTCCCTTCTACATTCTCCTCTTGGGATTTTGGCCATGCATGCACATGTGCCTGACAGACTTTCAAGCCACCGGGTCCAGGACTCAAACCATGCTTGACTACATGAGAGTCCAGTGACAACCATTATACTATCTGCTGGTCCCAAGAAGAGCTTTTTTTTTTTTTTTTAATTGAAAGAGCATTTGTGTGCTAACCAGGGAGACAAAAGGAGAGAAAGGGAGTAAGTACACCCAAATGGGATGTGGTCACGCCACAGTCTCTTCTCCTTTTCTCCATTCTGTTGGGACTTCAGGCGCGCGCGCATGAGACAGAAAGAGAACAAAGAGAAGGTATCCCTCAATGGGACGCAGTCATGGTGCAATCCCTTCTTTCCCATTTCTCCATTTTATCAGGATTTGGGGCACAACACACACATGCCCAGTGTGTTTTCCAAGCCTCCAAGTTTTGGATTTGAAGTGCAATCAGCCATGTGAGATCTGGCTCTTTAACCACTAGGTGTGGTTAAAGTATTTAACCAAATGCTTGCTATTCAAGCATTTGCTTGTTGTTGTTGTTGTTTGTTTTGTTTTCTTAAGTTTCATTAGAAGGATAAATAAGAAATTGCTGAACATGGTTCATGGACAAGATGAGCTAAAGATACCATCTGGGTTCAGAAATGAAGATGCTGATAGTGATTAAACGAGTGTGTCAAAAAAACACCAGAGGCATGTAGAAGTTCTGGGCTCCTACTAGCCAAACTTCAGAAAATTTCATTGTCAAAAATTATAGAGACAACAAAGACCCAAAGACAGTGATATAAAAAAAAAAAAAACTGAGATAAACTATTGGGTTTTAAATATGTCATGACTTTCCCAACAACTTAATAATAAGCATTTAAAGACTTACTAGAAGTGACTATTACACTGACATAGACTAATCCATTCTCACGGGACTCTGTGAGGGCAGATGGAATAATGGTTATCTCACTGGACTCCAACATAGTCAACTACAGTTTGAGTCTTGGACCTGGAGGCTCAAAACTAACACTGGGTTTGTGTGTATGTGTGCCCAAAATCCCGGGACAAGAATAAAGGAGATGGGACTCCAGGGCAGCCATCCCCCATGGAGGGGGTGATTTCTTGCTTTCTGTCTCTCTATCTCTGTCTCTCTGGTGAGCGCATGTGCCCTATAGCAAACATCTCTCTCTCTAGGGGAAAAAAGGGCACAAAACAATAGAACAATTGCATTGATCACAGGACCCTTAAGCAGCATTACTAGATTTTTTTTTCGAGAGGTTTTTGCTAATGGGCGCATGCACTCACCAGACAGACAGAGGAAGACAGAGACAGAAAGCGAGAAATCACCCCCCAGGGGGGATGGCCACGCTGCCATCCCTTCTCCTCCATTCTCCTCTCAGGATCTTGAGCACACACGCACACGCGCTGGCGTGAGTTTTAAGCCACCGGGTCCGGGATGCGAACCGCGGTTGACTACATGGGAGTCCAGTGACATAGCCATTACGCTAACTGCTGGTCCCTAGATTTTTAAAAATTTTTTGTACCAGTTTTCCAATCCAGATTTCTCTGGAGACAAGACCTGTAAGTCCTTGCATCTTAGGATATAGGTCTTCCAGCAATTCTGGTGTGCTTCTTATGTGCAGGGCACATTGACAAACATTGGGATGAATTACTAGCAGATTGTGTCTTCAGTTTAACTTCTGTAAAGAATGATAGAAAGAAAGCATGCCAAAGAGAGCTGAAGCAAAATGTAAAATCCAGGCACCTCGTGCAAGCAAGACAGTGTGACCAGTTACTGAAGACTTCACAGTGCAGGTGCCACTGTGGTATGGAAGGGTATTCACCACACAGAGTCTATCCTAGAGCAAGGAATGTGGTAACTAAGGCCTGCTGCAGGCCAGCAGAGGCAGTGGGCAGTGAGTGCTGGGTCTCAGGTTGGGATATTCGCAGGGAGGGGGGTGAATGTCTTGAATTTGATGTACTCTGGTGCACCAACACCGATGGATGAGAGTGTCTTTAATGTAAATAAAGTCCATTCAATGTCAGTAGAGGAGCGGTCAGGACCAGGATGCTCAGTCTGGTACAACAGGCAATGCAGACAGCTGTCTTCTGGAATCCAGGCCGAGAGCTCAAGAGCAGGAAGGCTGGAGCTATAACTTGGGAGTCATTTCCAGAAGGACAATCAGTAAGATTTCAAAGTCTCCAAGGGATGAGAGAAGAAGTCAAAGGATAGGCAGAAAAAATTGAGTTCAAGGAGGGGGAACCAGCAGTTAGCGTAATGGCTATGTCGCTGGACTCCCACGTAGTCGACCGCGGTTCATGTCCGGGACCCGGTGGCTTAAAAAAACTCACGCCGGGTGCGTGTGCGTGCGTGCCCAAGATCCCAAGAGGAGAATGGAGGAGAAGGGATTGCGGCGTGACCATCCCCCCTGGGGGGTGATTTCTCACTTTCTGTCTCTATGTCTCTCTCTGTCTGTCTGGCGAGCGCACACGCCCTACAGTGAAAATCTCTCAAAAAAAAAAAAATTGAGTTCAAGAAGGGAGAGGGGGCAGGTGCCAGAGCCATGTCTGCAAAGGACATTCAGTAGCTGGTATTTTTACCCACTTGACCATCTTGAAAAACCACCACCAAGAAAACATGAATTATTCTGCTTAGAATGATAAAAAGGACAGTTTTTGTCCTGGAGTTTTGCTGGAATCATTTATTTTTAAAGTTTTGCAGATGAACTTTTTTTCATCTTGTTGATGACTTCACACATTATAATTAAACATATTTTGGTTGTCAGCACATTATCAAAGACCTTAGAAGCAAAGAAAGAGGGAGAATGAACATTTCAGCCAACTGCTAACATTCAAAGCTGGGAGCCTCTACTGAGGCTGCCGTAATTGCTCATGTGACTTTTAGGGAGGTACTTGGTGGCAGAACAGTTGTTTGCAGGTGAATCAGTTGTGTGAATTATAATACAGAGGCATTACCCTTTAAAGAGAAAAAAAGTAATTGTGTTGATTCCTATTGGAAATCTCAATACTCTTTTCTTCATGTCATTGACTTTATGCACAAAATGCAGATGTGACAGCTCTGTTGGTTGACGAGTTTATGGTTGGTGTTTCTGATCAGGAATTATGGAGTTCCTTAGTTCTCCTGGTAGGTTACCGAAGAGAACCCCTGCACATCTGAAGATGGTGCTTCTCAAAGTGTGGTCTGCAAACCAGCAGCATCTGCATCACCCAGGAATTTCCTAAAGCAGATTCTGAGACTCCATCCTAAATATAGTGAGTCAGGAACTTGGGGGTGGGGGGACCTTCAGCCTGTGTCTCTGCAGCCCTCCAAGTTATTGTAATGTGTACCCAAGCTGGAAAACCTGCCCCAAGAGGAATAGAAGGCCCACCAGATTGATGTTACTTTGAATAGTTTGCTTGTTTAAGCTCTCTCTGCTAAAAAAATATTTAAAAAACAATGAAGAATAAGACTAGTTCTTTGAAGGTTCCAGTTAGTCATGCTTGTTCTATGATTACTTAGAATTCATTAAATAATTGCAGATTAGGTCCAAGATCTCCACATGGAATGGTGTGTTAAGGAAGATCACAGTGTTGTCGCACATAAAAATTTTAATTAACATTTGTTTCATTTCAGGAAAAAAAAAAAAAAGGAGTACTTCATATTACTGAAATAAGTTTCTCACCATCCTTCATCAGAGAGCAAATAAAACATACACCGCAGTGCCAGCCACCTAACTGTACACACTCTACATTTGTGGGCACACATGGTCTAAAACATTTCTCTGCATTTCAGGTCCAAACTGCTTTGCAGAAACAGCTGTCATCCCGGCCGGCAGGGAAGTGAAGACGGACGAGTGCACCATCTGCCACTGCACCTACGAGGAAGGCACGTGGCGGATTGAGCGGCAGGCCATGTGCACGAGACACGAGTGCCGGCAAATGTAGACGCTCGCCATCCAGAAACTCCGCGTTTTCTAGAACATTTCACTGGGGTGAGCATTCTGGAGACTCTGGGAAATATCAATGAGGAGAAGACTTTTGATGAGGAAAGATGGAAAACCGTTGGTTCTTCTGCTTTTCTTGATAACAATGACTACAAGAGAAGGCAATGGATATATTTCAAAACGTCCAAAGAACTTTGGGCATACAGTTCCTCTCTAAATAAATGTGCTATTTTCACAGTAAGTACACTACAGTACACTATTATATATGAAATGTATTTCTATAATCCCTCAATTAGAAGGCTTATATAAATGTTTTCTATAGATACAGATTAAAATTGCTGTGTGGTCACCCGTCCTCACTGTGTACCTGCATATCTTTTTCAGTTCTGATCCATCCCATGCAAAGGTTCCTGATCGCCAGCTCTCCTTCACATCTTCACATGCGGTAGTGCACGCACTCACAGGTCGCAAGATAATAGGACTGATTTATACTGAACCTTGTCCGCATTCCATTTAATTACAAAAAGCTAATGTTTATCCTCAGAAAATCCAGTGTAATTCACCTAAACCTATTGTTTCTTTCTTATAGTAACAGACTGCTTTTACCAGCTTCACTCTCAGTGATTTGGGAAATGCAGGTATACATATAAACATGGTTTTTCAGTTCCTTTAAACTTCGAAGACCATAGATAAATGCAGACATGCATTCATGCTCATTTTCCTTCTTTTCCTTCTAAGCAGAACTTT